ACCTCCATAATTCGAGTTTACCTTCAACTCCCTCTCTAGTCTTATCAACAAGAAGAATATCATCAACAAAAAGCATACACCAAGGTACATCCTTTTGCAAATGTCTAGTGAGAACATCCATGACTAAAGAAAAAAGATATGGACTTAAGGTTGATCCTTGATGTAATCCAACCGAAATAGGGAAATACTTGGTCAAACCACCTTGTGTTTGAACACAAGTAATAGCTCTTGCATACATATCTTTAATGATTTGATAAGCATTATTAACTCCTTTCTTTTCAAGAACTCTCCATAGCACTTCTTTTGGAACTTTATCATATGTTTTTTCTAAATCAATAAATATCATATGTAGATCCTCCTTATTCTCTCTATATTTCTCCATCAAACCTCTCAATAAATGTATGGCTTCCATAGTAGACTTATCCGGCATGAATCCAAATTGATTTTGAGAAACATTAGTATCACGTCGCAATCTTCGCTCTATAACTCGCTCCCATAGTTTTAAAGTATGACACATTAACTTAATTATTCTATAATTCGCACACTCTTGTGCATCACCTTTATTCTTAAAAATAAAAATTAACACACTCAATCTCCACTGATCTGACATCTTTTTATTCTTCAAAATTGTATTAAAAAGTTTAGTAAGCCAAGAAATTCCTTTATCTCTTAAGCATTTTCACATCTCTATTGGAATATCATCAGGTCCAACAGCTTGTCCACATTTCATTTTCTTTAAAGCCTCTCTAACTTCAGTTTTACTTATACGCCGATAAAAACAAAAATCTTTATTTTTATTTGGGGTGATAAAGTCACTAAAGTCAATCGTTTTTTCACATTCTTCATTAAAAAGTTTAGCAAAATACTTCATCCACCTTTGTTGAATATCATCTTCTAAGAAAAGTATTTTTTGATCTTCATCCTTAATACACTTCACTTGAACTAAATCCTTACTACTCCTATCTCTTTGTTTGGCTAACTTATACATATATCTTTCTCCCTCAGTATCTAATCTATTTTAAATCATTAAAAGCTAAGCTCTTTGCATCACAAATAGCTTTCTTAGATTTCTTACGAGCCTTTTTATAGCTTTCCCAATTATCAAAATTTTACATCTATACCAATTTTTATAACCAATCTTCTTATTTTTTATCTTTTCTTGCACATTTGGATTCCATCACCAGCTATTTTTACTATTAAGAGCTTTTCTCTTCGAAATTTCAAGCACATCTTTTGTAATATTCTTAATATCACAAGTCACTTTTTCCCATATAATAATGGTATCCTCATGCATAGACAGAATATTAAGATCTAAAATCTTACTCTCAAAAATACTTGTTAATATTCTTGAAATGCCTCCATCTAATACTAGAAAATCGTTTTACTTTATTTTTTATTTTTTGGCTCTTTATCTTAAAGTCCAAAACTAATAATCGATATTGAGTACATAAATTTTCACTCGGAATAACTTTACAATATTTGCAATCTAAACGATCTAATTTTTTTATAAGAAAATAATCAATCTGCATTTTACTATATCTATTTTTATAAGTGATAAGATGCCCATCTCTTTTCTTAAATAATGTATTAGCTATTAAGAAGTCATAAACTAAAGAAAAATCTAATACAGTCTTACCACATTTATTTTTCTTTTCAAACTCATGGCCACCATGGATACTTTTAAAATCATCTACCTCTCTACCATCATGTCCATTTAAATTTCCTCGAATAAAAACTCTTTTTTCAAGAGGTATATTTAGTATTAATACTTCTAAGTCATTCCAAAATTTTAATTTTGAACTCATATTCAAACCTATTTGAGGAGCATAAGCACTTATAATATTAACAATCTTATC